GTTATTCTGGCCATTAATAATCTTTTCATCCTGAGCAGTAATTTGCTTCCGCCAGTGGAGGTTTCTGACAGTCTGCAGAGTCTCAGAGCCCCAGTGACCGTGCAGTGAGCTCTGTTAGCCATGAAGATGAGGTAAGACGCTGTTTGATTACCTCAGCAGAGTATTTCTGAACAAAACAGGTATTTTTCTGCCATCCTCAGAGAACTCTGCAGTGACAATAACATTGTCCTGCAACAAGCTGGGAAGTCCAGCCTCTAACCACTTGTGATCTTGGGATTTCATGGAAAGGCTGGTAAGAGGAGAGTAACTTGTACAGTTAACGAGTGCCCTGCAGAGTCAGCCTTTGTCTCGTGATCTGGTGGTTGCAGAAGGAACAGAGAAAAGAGGAAAAAGCCAGTTTCAGCTTGGGCTGTTCCTCAAGTTCCCCTCCTGCTTTTTCAAGAGGCTGCTGTGAGCGTACGTACGGCTTCTGAGGCAGGAGGTTGGTGCTCCTTCCCGCAGCTCCGTGTGGCTTCACACAAGAGCACAGCTCAGGGAATAATCCCGTGCTCCAGGGAGCCCCTCCTGCTCTCACAGCCCTGGGTGATGCCAGGGAGAGCAGGATTAGGGCCGCTGCGTGTGACCGGCTTGCATCTGCGGACCGTGCTTGGGATTTGGGGACGGATGCTTTGCAACTGGCAGTTTTGTGATATGTAATCTGACATCACCTTGAAACATCCAACCAGGGCATGAAGTATAGTTGTCAGGTGCCAGTTTGGCATACAATGTCACTTGTATTTCGCTCTGTTAGTTCAGGAGTGGCAGTGTATTAAAATCAAACCCTACTTGTCCCTGCCAGCTCCACCAGCCTGGTTCCGTGCCCACTGTGTTGCCAGGAATTCCCCCCACTGTTTGCTGCGAGGTTCATGCAGAGCCACTCTGTCCAAAGTCTCAGTGCAGTTAATTATCTGTATTAAAACTGGGTTGATAAGATTTCTGGAGGTGTCCCACTGAGCTGTGCAGGAGAGCAGAGCAAACGAAGGACCAGAGGCAGTGCAGATGCAGAGAGCTGGTTCTGCACCAGGACAAACATCCAGCCTCTCGTGCACCCCGTGTGTGTCCCTCACACACAAAGAAGCAGGCTCTGTTGTTTATCCTTCTGGATCAGGAAAAAGCCAGTCCTTCCCAGTGGCAAGCATCCTGCTCAAAAAAACCAAAGGTCCCCACCACCCTCACCCCCAGCCTCACAGCAAAAACTGAATAAAGGAAACCTTCAGCATTAAGTCTCCCGATAAACATCAGAGTTTGCACAAACAAACAACAGCCCAGAAATGGCTCATTCCACAGGTGGACCGAGGCCAAGCAGGACAGTCTTTGTGGCAGGATTGGAACCCAAATGTATTTTTTTACTGTCTGCGTTCCCTGGTCTTCCTATGCAAAGATCTCCCGGACACGCCATTCTTCCCAGTTCGTCCCTAGTGCTCTTGAACCCCTCCTAATTGTTTTTTGGTCTTCCAACTGCCCTTCCATCTCCCGCGGAGATGCTAATGAAGTGTGAGTGCACACGGATGGGGCTGCTTGGGAATTTGTCAGGGCTCTTGCCCAGCCCTTGTTCCCTCATTAAGCTGCTGCTGAGCGAGGACCGAAGCGATTGTGCCTCGTTTAGTCCCTGCCTCCAGCGTGCCCTCAGCGATCCAAGCCCTTGGATATATTTTTCCCTTTCAATATATCAATAACTGTTATTTTGTTTATTAGCGGTGGGACGTGTGCCAAGCGAGTGGCCCGTGTAATCCATTTAAAAGGAGCGGTTCCACGCTGACACAGTAGCCGTGAGCAGAGCTCCTTTTTCCGGCTGCTGCCGGAGCCTGGAGCTCAAACTCTGCTCTGGCTTCGTGCAGGTGCTGCCCAAAGGCAGCTTCTCCTCCCCTCCCTGAATAAAGATCAGTCAGAGAAGTGCTAAGAGACACTGGACCCCCTACCTGAGTCGTTTCATGCCCATCCCTCTCAGCATCCATGAGAAAAGCAGCTTGGATTTTTGGTAAAGCTGTGGGATAAGGCTGGAGAATTCCAGATTAGCGGGAAGTGGAGCTGCCTGTGTGTGTCAAAGCACCAGGATGTGGCGAGGTTGGCTGAGGTGGTTTTGCAACCAAAGCCATTTGTTCTCTCAGAACCTTATTGCTGCACTTGTGTAATGGTTGAGAGCAACTTTCTGAACAAAATCTGTCTCTCCCTAAATGCCCAGGCACAGAGGGATACATCACCAAAGGGAATGTAAGATCCCATGAAAAAATTTCAGAAGAACTGGATTTTTTCTTACCGCTCCCATCCGTGTTTCCAACAGACACTGCAGTTTTCATATAGGCACTCAACCATAATTCTTTTTATTTTATAAGGAAATGAAAATGCTGATGGTTGTGGACAGTTTCCCCCAAAGTTTCAGCCTTTTAAGAATGGCACATAAAATAATCAATTTTTCAGCAGCTCTGCAGAAGGGATATGCTGGCTCTCTTTCCCACTTACTATCCACCCCAGTACAAATGGGATGTAGTTTGGCTTTCCACAGCCTTTTTCAGACCCAAAGTACCAAATTTCACTCTGTCTGCTGAGTGCCTATTGTGGGAAATTTGGAGTAACTCCACTGGAGTCAATTGGGTTGCCCTGGATTTACGGTGCTGTAAATGAGATCAGAATTGGCTCAAAGTATATTCCATTAATGAGTCAGATACTGGCAATGCAGCCAATATGCACCCAGAAATGGCTTTAACACAGCCTAGGATATTCAAAATTGGTTTATTGAGAGATGGGCTCAGGGCCAGGATTCTGGGGTTCTCTTTTATTCTTTCCATGAAATTCACCTTCCTGCAGAAGGCCAGCACGAGGCTGATGCAAAACTTAAGAGCCATTTAAGCCCTTAGAATGGGGCTTGTGAGATGCATAAACATTGTGCTGAGCTCTTTGCCTGCCCTGGAGCAGATTTATCGCTTAGAGTTCAAGATGTTCGAGGATTTATCAACTTTTACAGGTTTTTATAGATTTTCTATACATTAAGTGACACAAAGAGACAGTTTGTAACATACAGTGACACCATGGATGATCTGTTGCCAGCCATGGGTGGCACAGCAGGACAAGAGTTCAGAGCTTGGCAGTTGCAAGTGCTGCTACAGGAGAAATAATAAATAAGGATTAAATGGTTTTGCTGTGGAGGAAATCCTTTAATCAACTCCTGAACTCTTTATTCCAGTGTAACTTGAGTAAATATCTCACCTCCTGGAGCGGAGGCAGCCACATCCTCCTGCTTTGTACAGTGCCACACTCACAGCCCCGGCTGTGCCCTGCTCTGGGGAATTCTTGTGTGGGGAGTGCAGGTGCCCAGATCCCCTCCTGGTGGTGTTTCCAGCTCTGGGGAGTCCTGTGGTGCTGTGTGCCTGTCCCTGGGCACACAGGGCTGCCCAGATCCCCTCCTGGTGGTGTTTCCAGCTCTGGGGAATCCTGTGGTGCTGTGTGCCTGTCCCTGGGGCTGCAGGAAGGGCTATGTGTGCAGGCTGAGCAGGGTCACGTTCCGAGCCCTGGGCTATCCCTGACTCCCCGTGCCTTGCTGCTGGTTTTGTGTAGCTGTGTTTGTCCCTTCCCACACAGCAAACACCTCTCCTGTTTACCTTCTGCCAAAAAAAGCCAAGCAGCTCTGCTGAAGCACTTTGTGATACTCCAGTACTTCCAGAGGGCAGGTGAGGTGTGGGAGGTGGAGCATGGAGGTGCAGCTGCCCTGGGATGGATGGGGCTGGCTGACAGCCTTGACCATGGCCAGATTGGAAATGTGCTTCACCTCTGGAGGGTTCATCCCAGCCTTCCTCCTTCCAGCTATCCCCACTGTTACTTCAGATTTATTGAAACTAGAAAGCAAGGCTGGGAATGAGGGAGGGAGAGGCAGGAACTGCCACATCCTGTGCACAGCTGGCAGGAACTGGGATAAAGCAGACGGGGTTCAGCCTTCTGCCGAGGAACCAGAGGCATTCCGGGTGGCTGGAGCAGGGAGAGGTCACAGCCCCAAGGCTGCGTTTGGGCACGGCTCTCAGGCACAGGCTGGGATTGCTGGGGTGTGCTGGAGTCAGGAGTTGGGCTGATGATTCCTGTGGGTCCCTTCCCACTCGGCATACTCTGTGATTCTGCTCAGAGTCCGGAATTCAGCTCTTTCCCTGCATGTTCAGCCCGTCCCAAGGCTGTCTCCTGCTACCTCCCCTCTGGCATGAGCAGAGCAGGACAGCAGGAAGGGAGGGGATTCTGGAGTAAGGCAGCTCAGGATCTGCCCCAGAGCTGTTGGCCAGCCCTAATTACGCTGTGACTTCATAGCTGCTGCACTTGCACCGTCAGCGGCTCCCCCCTGCTCCCAGCCGGTGAAATCACCTCATCCCAGCGGAGATTTCTCCGTGTGGCTTTCTCTAGGGTCTCTCCTTGTCACAGCCTGCCAACGAGATATCTGTGGCATCTGCCCCAGCAAGGGCTGCTATCAACAAACTGGGAGATAAACGCTGGAAAATGGGAATTTCATCGCAGATGCCCCTTGGGCACCTCTCCTGCTAATTTGCACTTAGATGGGTGCCTTTCTCTGAGTGCTTTATTAATTAAGGCTCGCAGCCCACCTGTGAGGCAAAGAAGTTATTAGTGCCCTCATTTTCCAGCAGAAGTGAAAGCAGTGGTTTGCCCGAGGCCACAAATCTAATCAGTGGCAGAGCCAGGAATGAGTGAGTTCTTCCAGTCTCCCGTGATACTCCCTGCACCCCACTGCCTACCTGGAACAAATTTAATGGCTTCCCTAAAAGTTCACATTCTTGTTAGGTGTTATGTTAAACGCGATGTAAATGAAGATGGAGCACCCAAAAGGAGCCTTGCAAGCAGGAGAGCTCCCAGGAATCTGCAGTACCCAGGGCCAAAGGCATTGTCTCCTGTCTGAGCCACAAACCATCCTCCCCATAAATTCCACGCCACCTCTTCTTGTCCGTAAATTCAGTAGGAGGGTTCAAGCATAAATTTAAAAGAAGCTTTTATTGCACCAAATGCATCAACATAATTAACACCCAGCCCCGTTCTTTTGCTTTCTTAGGCTGGAGCAAACCCTGTGCCCTTGGAGAAAATTGTTTCCCCTTTTCCTCCAGGGAATCCAGAGCCTGAGCAGCAGCTGTGAGGAGTGGAGAGAAAGAAAGAAGTGGGAGATGCTGGAAGTGCTTTGGGCGACGTGAGAAGGAGGATTTGCCCGGAAGGAGCTGTTCAAGGGCCCAGCAGCAAACCAGAGACACAAAACCTGCTTATATATAGAAGAATGTAACCCCTGTGTATGCAGACGTGGACGCGTGCATGCCTTGTCGAGAGCGTAAGCGACATTCCCTGTAGATCGCTGCTGTGAGCAGCCCTGCTCCTGCAGGCCGAGCCTTGGCGCTGCTGCTGGCCCTGCTGGACACCACCCACTGCCCCATTTATGCAGCAGGATGAGGAGGAATCTCTACACCCACATTAGTAATCCTGAGAATTCCAATCGTGCTGCAGCGCGGGCACGGCCCAGGCGTGGCGGGGAGCGGGTGCGGAGCGGCTCGGACAGCAGTTTGTGTGTGTAAATATTCATGCTCTGGCACCAGGGGAGAGCAGCTTTCCTATGACTTTAGTTTCTCTGGTGCTACATTTAATATTTGTCTGGGGCTAAACTGCCTCTCTGTGGTGCTACAGTTTCCCCAAGAGGATGTTCTGAAACGTGGGACAAGGAAAGATCTATTTTGGTTATTGATATTTATACACAAGATAGCAAAAAATAAGACTTGTTGAGAAGGTGCTATTTTTTTTCTTTCTTTTAATCTCTGCAGAAACTAAGACAAAACAAATAATCTACCCCAGAACTTTATAAAACTCCTTTTCTTTGGAGCAGTTCTTTTTCTTTTGACAGTGTGGAGCTTGGGAAGCAGCAGGCACTGAGGTGGAAAGGACACAGGGCCCTTTCCACTGCAGTGTGCACATGGGAGTCTGCTAGAGCAGCACTTCCTACAGCTCCAGAGCTGGGAATTCTCCTGCATGGTGATTTATTCAGTCCCAAATCCCATGAACCAGGGAAGAGAACTCTTCTCCAGACTGATCACTAGAGCAGGGGATAACAGGAGAACTTGGCCTTAGAAGTCAAAGGGCTTTTTTCAGTCTAGTACTGAGCACTTTTTTCCTTGCAGCCAAAACTACCTGTCAGATTTTGGGTACCTTCCACATACAGCAACCTGTGCACAGTTTTTTAGAAACATTTTTCCTACCTTCAGATATTTGCACCAGAAAACTGACCCTGCCATGGCAGGGAGGGCATTTTCAAAGGCATAAAGGAATGTTAGGACCCGATTTCTAAAGGAAATTTGGCTCCTTGTCTTTTAAAAATACTTCCCACCCCTTGCCCAGCCCAGGAAGAAGCCGAGTGGCTGCTGTGTTCAGTCAGACCCTGCATTTTCCACTGCTGCAGGAGAAATGTTTCTAAGCAATCTGAAAGCTAAATTCTCCCTTTATCAAATATTCACCGCAGCGTTTTGAGCCCCTGCACGCATTTTCCTGGCTGTTATTGATCCAAGTCCATTCCCAAACAGCAGCAAGGGCTCTGCTGGAAGAGCAGATTGTTCCTAGAGAAGAAGCTTGCCCTGCCTTAGGTGATGTGCAGTGTTGGGAGGGGTGGTGTAGCTCCGTGTAGTTTGTCTGTCCATTCCCTTTGGATGGTCCCAGAGCCACAGGGACCAGTGAAACATTTTCCTGCCATTTTTGGCCTGATGCTCAGTGATCCTCAGCATCCTGAACCCCTTCCCGGCTCAGTCTCCTACAGAGACAAGGACAAATTCTTCTAACAAAAGGAGGAGCCTCAGCTGATTGCAGCAGTGCTGCCAGTGCTGGGCAGAGCCTTAAAAATACCAGTTTCTGGAAATCCCTGGAGTGTGGGAGTGAGATTGTGCAGATGGAATCGCACAAGTCACACTTGAACGGGAACCATGGATGTGACACTTGGCTGTAGGGGACACCCCTGCAGCTGGGTCACATCCCTCAGAGCTCTCCCACAGGCTCCTCACCCCTACCAGCTCTGAATGTAATAAACTGCTCACCTGGAACAGGCATTATTCCATTTCCCTGTGCACACAGCTGGCACTGCCCTTGGCTCTCCTGCTGCCCTGGCTGTTGGGGGCTGCAGCCTTCAGGCTGCTCCCAGTGTTTCAATTCCCTTGGAACAGCACAGCCAAGGAAAAGGAAAGGAAATTCTGTCTTCCCCACCTCGGGAGAGCCCCCAAATCTGTGATCAGCCCCAGTGCAGGGATTGGCTGATCTCCCTCAGTCCCAGCCCTCTGTGGACAGGTTTGTCTGTAAAAATTCCCAAACCTCAGAGTTTCCAGGGGATTGCTATCCCCAGGAGCTCCAAACAGTCAGCAAAAAATGTTGAAAGACTTGTCCTGCCCAGCATGGAACAAGCACATCCATGGTGCTTCCCAAGTGGGAACAGGTCTGGTACCCCAAATCCTGCATTGTTCCTGGTTTGCTTCACTTTTGTAGTTCCAAACTGGATGTTTCGCATGAGCCCAGGGTGAAGTTTTGGAGTTTTGTAGCCAGAATTCCCTGTACAGAACTGGAATTCTTTGTTTGAGGGTGCAGATTTGTCAAAGCCTTACATTTTGTGGTGTAATTGCTATCCTTGAACGCCTCCATTTTTTGACAAGGAGTGTTTTTATCCTTTCTACAAGATCTGCTTTGCCCCTGGTTGGTGTTTGCATGGAAAGGGAAGGGTGCTGTCAACTCCCTGGAAATTCCCTGTCCCCTCCTGTGGGCAGGAAACCGGCACAGTTCCCCTCTGGCCCTTTTGTTTTCTCACAGCAGCCAAGCAATCCCTGGGTTGGGTCAGCTGGGAAGGCCAGGGAGGGCTCTCCAGATGGAGGAACAGAGCCCTCTCGGGTTTCAGCAGCGAGCAGAGCGCAGTTATGAGCTCATGGTCTGCGCACAGCACGGCTGGGAGGGAGCTCTGCATGAATTTTTAAAGCGCTTCTCTGCCAAGACAGCTCGCAGCACAACCTGGAATTGTGTATTCCAAGGTAAAAGAGCAGCCTGGTGTGGGCTGCTGCACCTGCCACTGCTGGGTTACACCAGGGCAGGGCTTGGCCCATGAGTTCCACATTCCTTCCTCTTCTCCCGCAGGTAAAAAAGCGTGGAATGGGAGCAGGCCTCGTGTCACACAGCTTGGTGTGCCCAGGCAAACAGCAAATCACCCAAAGCAGGGAGCTGCCAGTGGGGAGGGGGAGAACCCATCCCACTCCTGCTTCAAAGCAGAGGGAGGCAGCAATTCCTCTTTGAGCCAAGCCCGTTGCTAAAGCAATTCCCTTAAATCCCAAACACTTCTTGAATCAATTTCATCTGATTGGTGAGTTTGTTTTGTTTCTGTATCACAGTAAAAGTTAGAAAGGTCTCTTAAACCCTCAGCATGAGCAGAAGCGGTTCCTGCTGTTGAAATCCACGACAAACTGAACTGGTTAAACTGGTGCAGTGTCTGTCCACAGCCTGGAATGAGGCATTCCCAGCTGGAAAACTGAGCTGCCCTGTGAAAAATGGCCCCAGTGAGGACAGAATAGCACATAATACTCAGTTTTCCTACACAACATCTGTCCCTGATCTCAGCAGGAGCCTGGTGTGTATAGAACAGGCTACCTGAGGCTCCACACCGGATCCTGGACACATACTGTCCATGTCCAACCCTCCTGGCTGTATCCCAGCTCCCCAGCAGCTGCACAACTTTACTTGGAGCCAGTTTGCCCCCAGAAAATTTGATTTTCAATCCAGGCTTCAAACTCAGCCTCATTCTTGTGTAACTTTGCTGTGTGTGAGCTGAACTTTCCATCTCATCACAACAGGTGAGGAGACTCCGGCCATGCCAATTCCAGATCCAGGGAATTGTAAACACCATGGGAATTGGGCTTCCCTAGGACCAGCCAGTCTGAGGAGAGGGGAGGGATCCTCACCTGCTGCTCCTGCCTTGGGTTTCTACACCACAAAATCCAGACAAAATTGTAATTTTTCCATTACAATATTTATTGCGAATTTTGATGTGACTTCAGTGTCCATTCTGGGGGAATTACTGAAGTGCTTGAATTTCCCAAAGTTTTTTATATTTACAGAAAGTGACTTTGGATCTTGATAAACATTCACTGAAAACATCTGAGGATTAAATGGCCGTTATAAGTTCCACCATTATTAATTAGTCACACCTTTATTAGTTACTCCATCAGGAGTCAGAGGTGGCACCAAGCAGAGCAAACCCAGCTGCAGTGGGATTTAATTCCCTGGGTTTTTACAGCATCCCTTTTCCAGCCATTCACCAGAGTTTATCACAAAGCCCTCCCGTCCTCGTGAGTCCTGAGGCCGCTGCGAATTCCCCAGTGTCTCCCAGGGGCGTTGCCAAGGGAATGACAGGCAGGGAATGCCCAATTCCTGGCGTTTTGCTGGTTACCATTGGGATGGAACTCCAGCAGGGTCACTGTGCAGGTTTCCCCCTCACCAAAGCAAGGGCAGGGCCTGTGCTCCGAGTTCCTGGAGCTCCAGGAGGCTCCTGGTCCTGGCTGGATGGGGCTTCTCTCTTTTGTAAAAGGAATTTCATATGCTGAGACTCTTTGTACATATTTATAAGGAATTTATTAAAAAAAAAAAAAAAAAGAAAAATAACTGTTCAATGGCAAAAAAAGGCTCCGGATTTTATTTTCTCTCTCGGAGGAATTTCCTTCCACAGCCTTCCCTGTTTTCCCATGGAAATCAACAGGTTCCCAGCAGCTCTCATTGGAACTGAAGTTTCTGGTCCAAGAGTCGTATTCCATGAGAAGGGAGGACCATCCTCCCCAGAAAGACCCCAAAACTTTAAGAATGCAAACCCACACTTTCCCTTTGATTTCCTGTCTTACTGCCAAATAAAAACTGAATTTTGAAGCAGTGTATCCCACACTTTCTGTAGAGCTGGGCTCCTACTGAGCTTTTCCTACACTTCTCCAAACACATTTTCCAGGAGCATGTAGGGTAAAAACATCAAAATGAGAAGTAGCTTTTCAAACAGTTTGAAAGCAGAAACACCAAACCTCAGCTTCACTGGCACTGCAGTGACACTGAGGCTTTCCAGAAACTCCCTGCCCATGGAATCACTGATTTCCCCTTTTCCTGGTGAATATTCCAGGCTGTCCCACGTAACATTTTTTATGCCCAATGAAAACCTTGCTCCCTGCTGTTCTGAACTCTCCCATCCCAAAGATAGGGAAGCTACTCCCATTGCAGAGAGCAATGAGATTCCTTGCCTTAATTCTGCACTTCCACAGGATCCATTAGACAAGAATTTGACATCACTTTGTTTTGGAAAGTAAAGCTTTTCCTCCTCTGCTTCCCTGGACCTCCCAGGCGAGGTTTGGACTCTCCCCAGCTCAGGTTCTGCTCTCACCATTCCTCCTCAGCCACACTGAGCTGTTATTTCCAAAGGAATGCAGAGCTTTAATCCTGTTCCCATCAGCTCCCGTTTCATCCCTCCCCTGTGGAGTTTCCATCAGCACAGACACAGCCTCCCTCCCTCAGGAGCCTCTTCCCTGATGGCTCAGGTGGGGCTGTCACCTTGAGCCATTTCCATGGCAATGAGCTGGGGAGATGCTGCTGTTCCTGACGGAGCAGAGGTGGTTTGGGGACAGGGAAAGCTCTAGAACAAACAGTAGCTCCCTCTGAGGGCTTGTGCTGCTGGAGAACCTCAGCAGAGACCTCGGCCACAGGGATGGGGTTAATTCCTGGTAATTCCTGTCAGGGATCTCCTGCTGAAGCTCAAGGCTCTGGTTTTCCCTGCCAGGCAGGTCCTGGCTGAGGAGCACAGGGCACTGAGTTTGTGAGATGCTCTTGGTCAGGTGCTGGATTTCCACCCAGACAAACCAAACTCAGCTTTAACCTCCCTCTGTTCTCCCCAGAGACTGGGAAATCAGAAAGTCTCTTCATGAAAATTACAGAGGAAAAACATTTCCAGGGAATGTTGGGAAACTCTCCATGGGAAAGGAGAGTGTCATTTCCAGCTTCCCTGGCGGGTCCTTCCCAAGCTCCCTGTGCTTTTCTGAAGGTGACAACGTGTGCCATTTGTGGAATCAGCTGGAAAAGCTGCAGCTGGGAAATCACATTTCTCCAACTACAGCTTTGGACACGAGGTTCTGAAGCTTGGGAAGAGTTCTCAGGGAGAGGAGCTGTGTCATCCTGCAAAGTCACGGATTCAGGGAATGCAGGGCCAGGTAACGCAAAGCTCCTCAGGCAGAGCACAGACTTCAGCACTCGCAGCTCCCCTGCCCTGGACACTCAGTGTTTGTCCATACTAAAGGACAGGAAAATAGGAAACATCCCAGACCCTCTGTAACCCTGGAAGCTCCAGAAACACCCTGGAGTTCACCATAACCACCCACACCTCCCCTGCCTTCCAGGATCAAGTTTCTGGCCAGTCACAATTGTTCAGTTGGCTCAGAGCTGGAAGAAGGACAGCAAAACAACAGACAACAAAACTGAGCAGAGATGCTGGGATTTTCCAGCTGCTCCTGTGCCCAGCCCTGATGTCAGTACACCTGGAAGTGAGCAGAGGTGGTGCCATCCTTCCAGCAGCGCAGGGTGTCCACGGTGACCGAGCGGCACAGGGGACACGTCTTCTCCCGGTCGAACCACAGGCACAGGCACTCCTCACAGAACACGTGCTGGGGACACAGGACTGTCACCACCAGCAGGGAGGCAGCTGGTGCAGCTGGCACTCCCAGGGTGTGGGAAATAAACCCCGCCTTGCCAAAGCTCACGGTTCATCTGGGCTTAATAACAGCACTAGAAAGGATTCCAAAGGCCTACAGCACCTGGGCTGGCAGGGGAGCTCTGACAGGGGAGCTGAGAGGGTTTTCTCTACCATATTTCCATCCTCAGTTCCCAAGTTATCAAAGAGCTCCAATAACCTCTTCCTTCCCCTGCTCCTTGGATTTGCTTTATTCTGCAGCCCCAGTTTCTCCTTTCCCACAGATTTCAGTTTTCACCCCCCAGCTCCTCCTCGTGCTCCTGCACTGAGCTCCCCGGCTCTCTCCAGCACACACCATCCACCCCCCGACTGGGAGAGCAGGAAAAGGGCAAGGAGGGAGCACAAGGAGCTGGGAGAAGCTGAGAACTCCTCCACACACGTGGAGTCAGCAGAAATGTCACTCCTCAAAATCCCAGCTCCGCCAAGCAGATCCAAAAGCGGCTTCTCAGGGGCTTCCAGCTTGGAAACATCTGCACAGATGTTCACAGCGAGGCTAAGAGCCACCTTTGATGCACAGGATGGCTTTAGTTTGATAACCCTGCTATCAAAAGGGAGTGTTAAAGCTCCCCAGCCCCCTCAGGGAAGGGGTAGGTCAAACTCTGCTCACCCCAGACCCAGGATCTCACTGCCCATTGCAGTCCCTGCCCCACAAGGCTGTGTCCATCCCACAGCCACCGTCACCCCATCCCAATCCAGTGGTTATCCAGGGCAATAAATATCCACCAGGAGCTGGATCAAAGCACTTCAGAAGTTCCCAGGCTGGCTGTGCCTCTCCCCACTGAAGGAATGCCAACAGGGGAGTTTTGGGGTCTTACCTGGCACAGGAGAATCAGAGGTTCCCTGAACTCTGCCTGGCAAATGGCACAGATGTCTCCTGCCTCACTGCACTGCTGGCTCGTGGCACGGACTCCATAGGTCTGCCAGGGAGAGGGGGGGAAAAAAACAACCACATGTCAAAGGATTGAAAGGGCAAATGTGCACAAAAATTGCTTTTCACCCCCAGATTCCCCACAGGGACAGCGGTGTCAGTGCTTGGGGAAGGGGGATCTGGGCACAGAGGGAGTCTGGAGCTCTGTGCTCCCTCTTTGCCTTTCCCCTCAAGCTGACTCCATCTTTTAGGGCCTCCACTTGTGCAGCAAGGATAATGGAATTTAATGAGCTCAACAGGGAGCTGAGAGGATTAATTCAGCATCATTTGCAAGGGTGTTTAGATGGAGGGAGGTATTATTATTATTATTATTAGCAAGTAGACAATAGAAGAAAGAATAACAGCAGCACCCACAGGCTGCTCACTTTCCCCTCAGATACGTGGAAGGTAAATGTTGCTTCTCCCACTGTAACAGATTTAGGGGAAACAGAAACCTGCTGAGGGAAAATGACCAGCCCAAGCCCAGGGAACAAGCAAGACAAGCTCCAACAAACTTTGATGAGGTTCTTTTCCTCTACAGTCTTTGATTTTACCCTTTCAAAATGTAAGTCACTGCAGCAGATCTAAATCACTGTGGAATGCAGTGCCTGGGATAATTCCTGTGCACTGCAGGGTCTCTTTCAATGCCACTGCACCTCAGGCACCACAAAGTCCTTCCCACACTCTGCACTACAAAGTTTTGTCAGCTCCTTGCAGCTGGATTAATCCACATTACACAGAGCTTCCAATCAGACAGAACAGCAACAATCTCTCACCACAGCTGGGGCAGGGCAGATGTCAGAAATGTACTGACATGCCTGACGGGAGCCCCCAGCTTGTCAGCCATGGGATAGAAAACACTGTTTTATTCTGTGGTCCTGATGCACGGAGCAATTTTCATTTTTATCATTCAGCAGGAACAAAGTTCCACCTCTGGGACTGCTCCTCTACGTTTAACTCCTTACCTGGGGGGTGCAAAGGACCTTCAGAGCCTTCCTGACACTTCCCACACGGCCACAGATGTCAAAAGACTGCAAAAAACACATCCCATTTTAGATCATTTTCACAAAATCTCCGTGTGTGCGTGTGTGTGAGTCCAGAAACTCGGCAAACATTCTCCAAATGGATGCTCAGAGGGGGAAAAGTAACAATGCTGCCAAAAAAGATTTCATGGTGATCATGAAATATGTAATAAATGGGAATTGACAGTGGGGAAGGGTGGCCAGAAAAGCTCTGGGAGCAGCTGACTGCAAACTGGGGACTTTGCAGGACACAGAGAGGGGCTGGCACCAGGCTGTGCTGGGGACAATTGTCCACCCCATGGAGTGGGGAAGGGCTAAAATGAACCAGTGCCCATAGGGAAGGGAAGAGGAAAGGAAAGGAAGAGGAAAGGGGAAATGAGAAAGAAGAAAAGGGAAAAAGAAAAGCAAATAGCTTTAAAACCTAATCCAGTCCATCTTTATCTTCCCTATCTGCTGGCAGAGCACAGGGAAAGACACTGAACTAAACAAGATGTGAAAAGGTGACAGTGCAAGGCCCAGCCCTGCAGCAGGTGGGCACAGCAGGAGATTTTGGCTGTCACCTGAGGGCCAGGGAGGCTGCAGAGCTGGAGCAGCACTGCACAGGCACAGAGAGCAGGGCTGGCTTTCTGCTGCTTCTGTGGTTTTGGTGAGTGTGATTGAGTGGGCTCACTGCAGGGAATGCCAATGAGCTCATCCTGCAATGGATGTGGAGGCAAATGAAGGCACCAATAATGCTTCCAGTCAGCACAGACAGGGCTCCCAGGCTCCTTCCAGTAATGCTTCCACTCAGCAGCCATCACCTGGGGCTGCCCACTGCCTCAGACGTTCCAGCTCCTACCAGGGATGGGCATCAGCCCCTTTTCCACAGTGCAATTCCCAGCTTTTCCTGGATGCTTTGCTCACAGCATGACTCCAGTGCCTTTGCTCAGGTGTCTCCTCTCTCCCAGCCCATATTCCTCGCTCTCTTCTTTCCCTCTGGAGCTCCCTGCACCCCCAAAAGCTGCAGATTTCAGAGGGCAAACACCCATTTCTCACCCGTTTCTCGTTGTACCAGCCATCATTTCACAACTGCGAGTGCTTCTGCTCAGGACAGGTGAAAAACACAACCTGGATGCTCTGCCTGTGAACACCTGGGGCTGCTCCACCAAACCAGAGGCTCATGACTGCACAGTGCAGCCAGAGGCACCAGAACAGCCCCCAGCAGCTCCATGCAACCTCCTGGAAGTGCTCCTGCCCTCAGTGCAGGGGAAGGGGACACAGCCCCAGCCCAGCCCTGGAATTTAGCCAGGGGCACAGAAGCTCTCAGTGCCAAATTGGCTTCTGTGGTTTTTCTAATGTGGTTTGTGGCTTTGCTAATGTGGATTCCTTTGGGGATATTCTCAGTGTCTCCGGCAAGGAGCTGGAGCTGCAGCTCTGGGGGCTGTCAGTGGGATGGGCACAGACAGGTCCATGCCCTGCCAGGGGAGAGGAGCTCTCCCTTTTCCTTTAAAGTCTTGGTGTGCACAGGGCTAACCCTGACCTGGACATAAACTTCCAAAAACAAAGCTGCTTTTCCAATCTAGACCACCCCAACACTCCCTATAAACACTTCATAGGACAGCAACATCAAGTTAACCCCTAAGGAACTGCTCCCACCTGTGCCAGGCCCTGCGGAGCCTCAGCTGGGCTCTCCTCCCACAGCCCCTGCCCCTGGCACAGCAGCTCCAGTTAAGCTCAGCCCTGGAGGTCTCAGCTCTTAAGGTGCTGGTGCCCAGTTTGGCTGTGCCTTGCTCCAGATCCCCCTGCTCTGGATACCCCAGCACCCGGGGTGACTCCTCATCCTCATCCTCACCCTGAGCCTGCCTCACTGCCGTGGCTCTGCCCTGCAGCTGCTGGACTCTGACCCTGCCTGGGGAGGTTTTGGCTTTCCCTGCCAGCTGTGGTTTTGAGCTTGGCTCCCCTTGCCCCAAGGAGCAGAATTCCCCACCAGCATCTTCCCACTGCGAGGGCTTCTCCAGGTGTAAGAAATGGCACGTGGAACTGCATCCCTTTTCCAGGGATGGGTCACTTTTGGAAGCAGGGAACAAGAAAGATCACTTGAAATCTGTTCTTGCACACCTGAGCTGCCAAGCCAGAGGGGCAGGGAAGGGTGGATGCTGCAGCAGGTCCAGGCTATGACACCTCTGGAAGGGCCAACAATCCTCCCCCAGAGCACAGAGAGAGGAGCAGAAAGAGCTGGGGCTGGAGGGGTGTGCAGGGAGCTGCTCTGGCCTCGTGTGCTCCTGTCCTGGCACACTTTGCTCTGCTCCTGCCTTGGCTCAGACCTGCTGTGACCACATCACTTCACTGGCCATCAGCTCCTCTGCCTAATTCGCTCACAAGAACTGTAAAGCCCTCGACAGGAGGGGCTGCAGGACCCTATTCCTACACAGTAGAGAGCTACACTGTAATTCAGCATTGCTCTGCTCCTCTGAGCTGTTTCCAGCCTGGAAATATTCTCTATTCTTCATTTTTCAGTGTGCTCCTGCAGAGCCAGGCACAGACAGGGATCTGGGATAGAGCAAGCCCAGCCCTTCTCAGAGGGCTGAGCACCTGGTTTATCACAGTTTGCTCTACCCCTGGGCAGGGTTTAACACAAACCATTAGAAATACAATTATTTCTAGACCTGGGACTCCTCTAAATCACACCTACTCATTTACAATTGTACCAACTTGGTGCTCTTATTTTTGAGGAAACACAAATCACTCCTGTCCATCACTTGTACCTGCCAGACCAGGAGCGAGGATGGGACCTGTTTTATCCAGGCAGGATTTGGGTGCTGCACTCAGAGCTGTGAGTGGCAGAGGAAAGCTTGGAGACAGCCATGGGAGTGTGTGCAGCCTGCCTTTGTGTACATCTGGAGGTGTGGAGCCGCTCCCCCAGGACCGGCTCAGCTTCTCCTGCAGCCTCTGCAGAGAGGGATTAAGAGAGCAGCAATGACTTCATGAGTCTGATGCAACACCGGGAGCAGCCTCAGATCCTCCCGCAGCCCAGCAATGCCCACATGCTGGGGAGCAGAACCGCCTCTGGCAGCTGAAGCCTGCAGTGTCCTCGGCTGCTGCTGCTGCTGCTCCCCGCGCAGGGCACGAGCAAAAGGTGAGTTTGTCCCTGGAGCTGTGCTGCTCCCCCTGCTCCTGCCACAGCTCCCTGGGGCTGTTCAGTGCTCACCTTGCAGAGGCTGTACATGATGATCAGGATCCCACCCAGGAAGTAGCTGCTGGAGGGATCATCCCCCATGATGTATTTGTACCACAGCTGGATGGGGACCAGGGAGCGGAACAGCTGGCTCAGCTCCTCAATAATCAGATAAAACTTCCCCTGCAAGACAACCAGGCAAGTGAGACCATGATTATTATCTGGAAGTCAAAAGAGGAACATTTAATTTGTGCAGGGCTGGTGTTCACTGTTAAAATGGTGCAGGGACCACGTTCATGAGATGCAGTTTTCTCCTGAACTCTGTGCCTAGAAAGGATAAACATCCCTCCATTCCTCCCCTCCAGGGCTCTGTCACTGACCCAGCTACGCCACATTTTGGGATTTTAGTCTTTAGAGCAGGTTATGGATAGGCAATAAATGGTGTAGCTGGACAATGCTGCAGAAAAGCAAAGGTTAATATAGGATTAATATGATGTAAATTGTAAATATCATTATTAGTGAGAAAAGAAAAGCAAGTTTGATCTCTCTGACCTCACACCCCTTCTGAAAGTACAGGGATTAAATGTAAAGTGACCCCAGTCTTTCTGACAACTTTCTAGGTAATCCCAAAGAATCAAATGATGTTTGCCAGCATCCTTCCCCTCAGGTGTGTGTTGGCTCTTGGGCAGTGCACAGATAAAAAGGCTGGTGCTGAAAATTAAACCCTCAGGGCATTTTAAACTCAAAGGGACCAAACTTTCCTGAAGGAATGAAAGAAGGAAAGGTGGGGAGGGGGAAGTGTGCTGGTTGAAATGCTTCTGTCTCAAAAGAGACTCCAAGAATGGGCAACATCCTTTGTTAACCTTCACCGAAGCCTGAATAAGTGTGTCATTTAGGGCCAGCCCCAGTTTGTTCTGTCCCACGCTGTTTTACAGGGACAGCTGGTGGCAAACCCAGCCCAGAACAATGCTTAATCTGCAATGACATTATCTGGACTGAAAGGTTCGGGTTCATCCTGTCAAAATCCTTTTATTTGCTAAGCTCCTGGAGAAGGGGAAATTCCCCTGGAATTTTGCTGTGTTGTCCCAGTTAGCTCTGTCATCAGTGATGTCATCGCAGGCCAATCACTAATTGCTGAGGTGGGGATGGGGATTGAGTCCTGGCAGCCGGGCTGGCAACAGCCAGTGCCCTTCCCCGGGGGCTGCGATGAGATCACTCGCGGGCCATCCTGCTGCTCCCGACAAATCCAACCCTTCCGAGAGCTCTGGCACGCTCATGATCTCATGTCCCCCGGGACGTGAGTGAGGTCACACCAGTGGCTGCTTCCCTGCCATCCCCATCCCATCCCATCCCATCCCATCTTCATCCCCATCCCATCTTCATCCCCATCCCATCCCCATCCCCAT